GTAGGCTATTTGACACTTCTTCTGAAATCTGAAGCCACCATCTTGAATTTCAAGATGACGTCGGACATCGATTTCTGGCTTCTAGATGTCACCCCGATTCCTAAAAAACCCACATTGATCGGTATTTGGCAGTATTTTCGAGAGAATTTCACAGTTTGTCTGAACAAAAGCCGCCATTTTGGATTTAAAGACGGCGTGACATCAATTTTCGGTATCTATGTCTCATCCCTATTCTGAAACTAACCATATTTTAGGGTATTGGACACTTTTCCGCAAATCAGAAGCCGCCGTCTTGGATTACAAAATGGCGTCGGATATTGATTTCCAATCTCCAGACGTCACCCCGATTTCAAAAATACCCGTTTTTATGGGACGGCATCAGCATTTCCCATTTTTGTCTGAAATAGGAAGCCGCCATATTGGATTACTACTAGACGTTACTCTGATTCTAAAAAAAACGTTTGTTTGGGTATTTGATAGAATTTACAACTTTTTCTTAAACCGTAAGCCGCCATCATGGATTTCAACATGGCGTCGGATATTGATTTCCAATCTCCAGACGTCACCCCGGTATTTTTGCCCTTATTGATGGGACGGCATCAACATTTCCCATTTTTTCTGAAATAGGAAGCCGTCATATTGGATTTCAAAATGGCGTCGGATATCGATTTCCGGCCTCTAGACGCCAACCGAATTCCAATACAACAATATTGACAATATTTCCCACTTGTTCTGAAATCAAAAGCCGCCATCTTGGATTTCGAAATCGCGTCGCATATCATTTTTCGATCTGTAGACTTCATACCGACTACAAAAATACCAATATTGGTGTGTATTTGACTGTATTTCCACTTATTCAGAAATCGGAAGCCACACACCTAGATTTTTTTTTGCCGAGATGGGCATCACCGAGCAGCTCGGCATTTTATTTTGCTGGATCTCAGTGAAAAATTCGCCGAGATTCAGGTAACGAATGGAAATTTTGCCGAGAACTCAGCTAACAAACATAAATTTTGCTGAATCTCGGCAAGTTTTTCCAAGATCCAGCAAAATAAAATGCCGAACTGCTCGGTGATGCCCAAAAAAAATCTAAGTGTGAACCATCTTCGATTCCAAAATGGCGTCGGATATCGATTTTCATCCTTTAGACATCATCCTGATTCGAAAAATATCTTTATTGATAAGTATTTGACAGCATTTCCCACTTTTTCTTGAACTGGAAGCCGCCATCTTGGATTTCAAAATGGCGTTGCATACCAATTTTTATTCTCTAGATGTCACCCCGATTAAAAAAAATACTCATATTCATGGGTAAATAAACCACCCGACAATGATAAATTTGACATCCGCGTGCACAGATCTATGCACATGCGCTTAAATGAATCGAGTGAACAATCAACAAAAGTCATAAAAACATCGAACAGCTTCGCTTCAATGGAAAAGTAAGTTCATTTGACAATAAAAGAAGAAATGAACACGAGTCAAGCCAAAACAAACAGCATGAAAACTGATCGAAAGTGGTTCTGTTGATGTTGACGGGGTTCTGCTCGAAGAGAGACAGAATGACTTTCACTTGACGATTTTCGATTGAAAGTGACTTTGTGGGGCTCTGTTCATGTCCCTCCAGGTTCTGGTACATTAACTTATCTCTATGGATGGTAATTATACTTTACAACTCACCTTTTGATTTTAATATCGATAATGCTGAAACTATACACAGCAAAAAATTAATTTTGATATCACATCAAAGTGGATCCACTTCAATCGTGTCAAAAATATGGTGTAATATTACTTACCAAAAAGGACAAAATTATCATTAATACAGTGCATGAACTGACAGTATGCTGCTTTTACTGCATTTGTTTATTTTGGTGGCCATAAAAATAACATAAGATTTTCGACATGATTGAAGTGCATCCTCTTGGATGTAATATTAAAATTTATTTTTTGCTGTGTATGAAGGTTAGTGATCATTATTAGGTGTGTGCTGCGATGGAGTAGTAATTGAAGGAAATGAGGTTCTGATGTAGCTTATTGGCTAAAATAGGTAAATCATGCAAGCACACACCTTTTACAATTCTTATCCTACATCTAGAGATGAGCGATCCGCTCCCGAGCTGTTCTATAGACCCGATTCTCTAAAGTGAGCTGATGAAACGCGGTTCATTTTTTAGGAACCGCAGCTCATCAGACGCGCGCGTTATACAACATGTGCCTACTGATCGACAGCACCAACGGTAAAAGCAAACTTCCAAGCGGCTGTTTGGGAGAGAGCGAAATATGTACATGTGCTCTTATTGCTGATGTTATTCCTCCAGCATATGTGCTCTCACCTCTCCTCCCATCATTCTCTGGGGGAGCGGAAGATCCGCACAAAAGCAAATAACCGAAAAGTGAAATGCAGCTCTCCAGCTTATCAGCTCAGCTCCGGATCCGAATCATCGACTCGAATGATTCACTGGGAGCTGTTTAGGATGACAACTCTCGGACCCGACCAGCTCTTCGGATCTTTTTTTCTCACTCCATTCTTTACGATTCTGCTCCGGATCCGTATCTGAGCTGATGCCGAGAATAGTGAGAGAAATTCTGCTGGAGAATTAACATCAGAAATAAAATTTGAATTTAGACTGGATTGCATAGCTTGAGAAAAGGCGTAACATCGTGTGCCACGTTGTCAATCATATCATCACGTGTGACATAGGTGTAGCTCTCTCGCATACATTTTTAACTGCTATGTTGTTGGCACATTTTGCGTGCATTTTGGTTTACGCGATGGTTGATCAGTTGTTGCGTTAGTAGCGTTTTCCATTGAAAAGTAAAGCCATGGATTTATTGGTTTAGACTACTTTTACGATTTTATGCAGTTTTAAGCACTAAAACCACTAATTAATTTTCCGATTTTGAAATTGTGTCATAATTTCTATAATTTCAATGTGAGCTGAAGAGCTGTTCAAAATAATCGACTCCCTTCAGTGAGCTGGATGGGTTTTATCCACTCAGGCAGATGAGCTGTTTTGCCCAACTCTACTACATACCACTTCCGCCCAGTATAAATTGGTTGTCTCCAACTGGCGTGATCCTTTCTGACTGCTTACTCTTTTCGATGCATGTCTTATTTAATTCTTCTTTGCTCATGCTTTCTCGCTATTATTCCTCCTATTGAACATCTGGCCGTGTTCCCATTTGTTCCAAGGCGTGTTCCCATTTGTTATATTGGTACATGAGAGGAAGAAAGAAATAGAACAAGTTAAGTGTGAGCCGCATACTTTGGTTAGTCGTTTGGGTCATGGTGTTGTGTTCCCTATTTTATTTGCCTCTATTTCGCCCTTAGATCGCAACGTTCGACTCGCCCCCTCCCCCAAACTATTGTGGATTATAAAGAGGAACCCGTATTTGGTAACCTCTCGCGAACTGCAATGCAAAAGATATTTTTTTTTCCTTGATTTGTTTTCCGTCGATCTTGTTTTCCGTGCTGAGCACCAATGCTACCGACGCCAGGAAGGCAGCTCCCACACCTGGACCCTACCTATCGACCCATCAACTCATGAACCGGGGACCAACGGCTTTACTTCCCATCCGAAGAAAGGCGTGATCAGAGATGTTATGCCTCAGAACATCCCGGCGGCGCTGACTGGGATTGAACCCAGGCCTGCGTGAGAGGAAATCACGCTTACCACTACACCACCGGCGCCGTTATGCAAAAGATATTAATAACAAACTAATCTAGAACTGAGCTTAAACATATAACATTTTCTAATACTGATCATGAATAATATAGTATGAATAATGAGAAATGTATGAAGAAAAGACGATCCCGAAAGAACGTTCCCTAGCAATAAAACTATTACTCTATGCTAATCTGAGCTATTTCTTAGCTTAAATAATCTAGGTCCTTTTTAGGATTATATATGAAAAATCCAAATTTGGCCCGAGATTTGGCCAATGTCCACCGAAAATAAATAAAACTACTTTATGACTTAAAGTGCGATGGATGAGTGTTAGTTTCGGGATCATTTTAGTGTGTACCATATGGTACATTATCTCACTAGGAACCTGTCATTTCTAGCCTATCTGAACTATTTAATAAATGGAAACCATAACATGAGTTACGCTTTCCCTAAGCGGGCCCTCAGCATCCTATCTCTGTCTTATCTCAAATACCAAATGCCAATGATTTGAATTTATCAATATATAAATTGGAAATGACGTCCAATCAAATAAACCCATAACCCACTCATTTGGCCAGGCTTCAGAATCGTCCAGTGGGCAGTGCGCTCTACACTCCAAGTTCCCTTTCTTTCAAATTCACCCCAAATTTGATATTTTACCCATTGAGTGTTGATTAATCACAATGAAACAATTGTGGTTACTAGAGTATTAAATAAGCTAGGTCCTATTTCGGATTATATCTGAAAAATCCAAATCTGGCCAACGCCCACTAAGGTGAAAGTGACCTAATGAGTAAATAAAAAGTTTCAAAAATGCTCTCCGAGACAGCAATTCAGTTTGCCAAAAGCTCTTGTCGATGTTTTTCTTTTATTATTCGACTAAAATTATCCCTGTGCCTGGCCTGAGTGCTTGTTATAATGAATTCAATGCTAAAAATTTGAATTTCAACATCATAACGATTTGAAAGAGAATTCTTTTCTTTTCCCTGCATTTTAATAGTCCTACAAACATTAAAACATGTCATCGATATTTTTCATACAAGAGGCTGGAACGAAAAGTGGACTATAGAAATAAAAACCGCTAAAATCGGTTCCCATTCTGTGCATATGAAAACGAGTAAAAGTTGTCCCACATTTGTTACAAAGACATTTTATATTTACCTCAATGCTCTGGGAAGGGTGGGGAGGGGGTTTCTGTTTCATTCTCCCCGTTTCTGACATTTTCTATTTTTTGTTTCATTACCAAATACCTACCTAAATAATTGAAAACTACTTATCGACAAGAAATTTGTATTGACATTTTTTTTCCATTTCATTTATCTCCTTCCACAGCACATGCCGGCAACTTGGTCAAGCGCAGTCTGAAAAACACAGTTCTTTGCTTAGAGGATGGACGATTTTACAGGTCAGCTATTGGTGTCACGTTTATCCAAGCTATTATGCTCTATCTGCCTCTTATAATACGAAGTGCACTGACGTACCTTGAACACTACTTGCCTATATGTTGTATTACTTATTCCTCTCCATTTCCTACTTTACTTCTGTTGTCACAATTTCTATCGTTAAGTAGTGCTTGAAAGACCGCATGCGGTCGGGCGTGCGTGGTACAAACGATACCGCTCTATCGAGCGCACACCGATTAAACCGCACTAATGAAGCCAATGATTGAATCAATCATCAAGCTTATTGACCCGATCACGTGCCGGGCGGCGCCATGCACCGGCACACGATATGAGAAAGGAAAATTACAATTTCTCTTCCCCTTCACCCACAGGAATCCAGAACGACCCGTACAGAAGATGTGGACCAACGCGGAGTGCGCCAAGTACTACCTCTGTCTCGATGGGGAAGTGTTCGAGTTCAAATGTTCCGTCGGGCTGATGTTCGATGTGACCCGGCAGATTTGCGACTTCAAGCAGAACGTGGACAACTGCGAAGTTACGGCGGGTCGGTCCAATCATCTAGTTATCATAACATAATCATCTAATTACGATCTATCTTTCTTCCACAGAGGCCCGCGTTCCGAAACCGCTGCTAGACGCCGCCCAGTGCGAGGAACGATCGCAGCTGGGCTGCGGCGATGGCACTTGTCTTCCGAACGAATACTTCTGCGACGGTTCCATCGATTGCCCGGATGGATCGGACGAGGGTTGGTGCGATGTCGAAAACGATCCGAACGCAGCCGATCCTTGTGACCTGTCGGTTTGCGAACTTCCGGATTGCTTCTGCTCCAAAGATGGAACGATCATCCCATCCCGTCTGGAACGAACCCAGACGCCTCAGATGATCGTGCTAACGTTCGACGATGCAATTAACTTTGAAAATTGGGAACTCTACACGCAGAAGATCTTCACGCCAAACCGGAAGAATCCCAACGGATGTCCATTGCGGGCGACGTTCTTCATCTCGCATCAGTACACCAACTACCAGCAGGTGCAAAAAATGTGGAACGATGGTCACGAAATCGCAATCCACTCGATCACCCACCGCGGTCCGGAGGAGTGGTGGTCCCGGAATGCAACCATCGAAGATTGGTTCGATGAAATGGTCGGACAAGCCAACATCATCAACCGGTTCTCGAACGTGCGGATGGAGGAGCTCCGGGGGATGCGAGTTCCGTTTCTACGGGTCGGTTGGAATCGCCAGTTCCTGATGATGAAGGAGTTTGGATTCGTGTACGATTCGTCGATGGTGGCACCCCACTCCAACCCGCCGCTGTGGCCGTACACGTTGGATTACAAGATGCCACATGCCTGCAACGGGAATAACCAGTACTGTCCCTCCCGGAGCTATCCCGGCATCTGGGAGATGGTGATGAATCAGCTGGAAGCCGGGGAGTTCACCTGCGGGATGGTCGATACCTGTCCGGCCAATATGAGCGGAGAAGACATGTACAAGATGTTTGTGCACAACTTCAAGCGGCATTATCACACGAACCGGGCGCCGTACGGGTTGTACTTCCACTCGACCTGGTTCCGGAAGCAGGAATATCTGGAAGCGTTTTTGGTAATTGGTTTTCAAAGTTCTTTTTCGGGTTCGTGGTGGCGGTGGTGAGCAGGCTCATGGTCCCAAAGCCGTATTTAGGAAGACATCAGAGTTTGCGCTTAAACTGTTAGTTATAGGTAAACTACGTCTTCGGGAAAGTTGTTATATATTGTTTGGCCAATCTTTCTATGGAAGAAGTGATATTAGGGTGGTCTTGGTGGTGATGATTACTTGTCACAAAATCTTAGACACCCCCCCCCCCCTCCCCCTACAGCGTGACATAATATATGCATCAACCCTTTCTTAACCGATTTCACTATTTAATATTGTCCTGTGTACGATTTGACTGATTTTTATTTTCCAGTGTTATTGGCAGAAAGATGTCGTAATGGCTTTGATCATGGCATGGTCAACAAAACAAAACGTAGCATGTATTATATAAGTATAAGCATGCCAAACAGCAGGTCTGAGAGCCTACTAAGAATGTTTTAGAGCTTCAGAGAGGTTTGGAGATCAACGGAGAAATTTGTTGAGCTTCAGGGTAGTTCGTAGATCTTGAGAACATAACTACAAAACTTCAGAAAATTTTAATGAAATTAAATGAAATTGTCTGAAATTCAGAAACATTCACAAGAGAGATCGTAGATCTTCAGAAAGAATTTTTTTTTCAAAACTTCAAGCAAGCTAAAATATGTTAAGATCAATTTGTAAAACTATAAGGGGAATTTGGCTAATATTCAGACATGTCAGACATGACATGGCAGAACTTCAGACATGTCCAAGAATCTACAGTGAAATGCAAAGAATTTCACAGAAGTTTGGAGATCTACTGAAAAATTATTGAACATCAGAAAAGTTCGTAGATCTTCAAAACAAAGCTACAGAGCTTTGAAAAAATTTACAAAACTTCTGAAAAAATAACAAGAATGGTCATAGATCATCAGAGAAATTTGAAGACCTTCAAGAAAGTGTGCAGATTTTCTAATATTAATTTTAATGGATCTTCATTTCACTGAAGAACTTCAGGGAGGTTCGGCGATTTTTTTTTAATTCAATATTTATACAATTTCAGGGAAATTTGTAGATCTTGAGGGGGGCGACCCCGGCGTAGTGGTTAGCATCCATACCTCTCACGCCAAAGTCACGAGTTCAAATCTCACCCCCGGACAAGTCACGAATGACCCAAGAGCGTTAAAGTGACTATAATTAAAAAAAAAAAGAAAAAAAAAGTAGATCTTGAGAGAAACATTTAAAACTTCAAGGCTCAACTATTTTCTATCTTGGAGAACTTTAGGTAATTTAGAAGATCTTCAGGGAAATTTTCAGATGTTCAGGGTAGCCCGAGATCCTACAGTGGCAAGTGAATTTCTGTGACCATATTGCACATCTCGAAACGAAAAACTTTTTCATACAAGTGTTCGTACAAAAAGTCTTTCGTTTCGAGATGCGCTATGTGGCCCCTGATTTAAAATTCCTGTTTTTTCGGTTTACCTGGTTTCTTCTATAAAAATTTCGTTAACTAAAATGCATATCATGTGTCAAACCAGATAATAAAAAAATATTTAAAATACATCAGTGCTCACCCGGTTCATGTCAACAAATTGAAATTAAATTTTGACAGATAAATATCCATTAGCCGAGTATTTGTAGTTCAAGATTTTTCACTTAGCTAACGTCTACTGTATTCAAGCAGCTTAAGGTTAATTTCTTGACCTTCGCAGCCTTAATCCTGGTTTAACTAAATGGGTACATTGGTCCTTAGCGATATTGGCATTTATATGTCACTTACACGCCGAACAAGAAGCCGTAGGTAGATTGTGAAACGGAAAACTTGCAATGTTTGAACTCGATCATTTTCAAATGTTACAGAAAATGAACAGTGAACTATTGGCTCCATAAAGCAAATTCAATTGAATATTCCAAATAGCTGTTAAAAAAGTTCTAAAATGTCATTGCCAAACATGTTTCAATATATTGCGTATTTAATGGTTAAGATGCTCGTCGACTAATGACCAAACAAACAATTCAAAGTCACAAATAAGCATACATATTGAATTAATCCTGTATAACAGTGTACAATGCTGAATAAAAGAGGATGTCGAATTATGTGCTGAAAAAAGCTCATTGAGATCGACAGATGCGCCTTTGATATAATTAATTTACTTATTAAAAGCTTTATAAACGTTGACTGTCTTCCTGATTCAGAACCAGAAGTTTGATCTAATAATAAAATGAATAAGTGTAATTTGCACATACAAATGCTCAAATGTCATTGCATTGCTTTACAATATTGCTGTACACTGGAGTCGCTTTTTACGCGGTTTTTTTTTACACGGTTTTTTTTTACGCGGTTTTTTTTTTACGCGGATTTCGGAATTTACGCGGTTTTTTTTACGCGGATTCGGAATTTACGCGGTATATCGCTTTTTACGCGTTTTTTTCTTACACGGTCTTTTTTTACTCGGTTTTTTTTTACGCGGATTTCGGTATTTACGCGGTTTTTTTTACGCGGATTCCGGAATTTACGCGGTTTTTTTTTACGCGATTTTTTTATACGCGGGACGTATCACCCGCGTAAAAAGCGACTCCAGTGTATAAAGGTGAATACAGCCAGCATAATAGCTCTTATCCCAAGTAGCATTTCTTGTTTTATTGCACTCTATTAGTGGTTATTGAGATCAATTTCATAAAACCGCCAATAAAATTAATAGCTCCAGCACAACCTTTTGATAACCGCTATAAGATCGTCATACAGCTTAGTGGACCACTCTTGATAAGGTTTATAAAGCATGTTTGAGAATCACAATAAAGCTGTCTTAAAACCTTTTGTCAGGAAGCCTCATACTCTACAAAAGGTTCTCATAGCCTCTATAAGAGTAATATTGTATCCAAGCAGTTTTATTACGCTTTGGTGAAAATCAGTTATAAAGCCAATTTAATTTTTATTGGCTTCAAAGCAACCGCCATAAATTAGCTTGTTGTTGTTTTGTTCTGCTGAAACTTTTTTTTCCAAATGGAAATCTTTAGCGGTAAAAATATGTTTGAGTGTTGGTGTCAAGATCACCATGCCATCAATTTTGTTTCATGGCGACATTAATGAAAATTTTAAAGAAAATATATGACTTTTTAGAAGTTCCAAAACATATGCGCTTGAAATGTTATCGTGTATATTGAGATAATATGAGCGTTAAATAAATGCGCCTCCAAAATAATTCAAGTTAACAAAAAAGATTGTTTCAGAAATCAAATGAATTTGATGGAATTACCTTAATTTTACAGAAAATTGATCTCAATACATAAATTCATACCAATGCACACTGGAAATCATTTCGGATCTCTTATTTAGCCATTATTTTATTGAAATTTCTTGGATTTTATTCCAAGGCTAATGGCATTTTCTTAATGACAATATGGCGACAGAGGACAGCAGGCAAGAAAAACACCAAGCGCAATTTCTTAAAATGTCTAATGCTTACATTGCACACTGGGTCAGGAATGCAACCTAGCGGATCAAAATTAATAACTCCGAAACGAAGCATTTCCGCGACTTGGTGTCTTCGGCAAAATTTCTCGTCATAATAAGGACCATCTATTGACATAAACAAATAGTTCAAAACTCTTCCGCAAAGATGGTGCCACAATCTAACTTCTTTCTCTGACGTTTTGGAGACTTGATGTTTTGGGTAAAGTTGTTTATCTTGACAAAATAAACACCTATTTCAAAGACGTTAAATTTCCACTGTCTACTGGTTCCAAGTTATATGGAGTTAAAGAAAAAAATGTCGAAAATATGGTTTTTTTCTGTTTCGGTTTTTTTTGCTTACAGCTTTATAATGTTTTATTATTCTCTTATGCAAATACATTAAATAAATAGCTTTTGTGAAGAAACATACTGAATAAAGCTTCAAATTTAAAAGATATTGTTGAAAAAACGAGAAAAAAAACACAATTTTTGAACATTAATATCTCCCAAAGCGCAAAAAATCGCAACTTTCTCTTTCGTTGATAACTTATTCACAGAACCGTTTCTTGATGTGTTTGTCATATTGGATGCTAGATAAAAGCTTCTTTTATCGATTTATGTGCTGAAAATACCTGGGAATGTCTTTACATGACCGTGGGGATGCAAAGAGAAAGTTGACGAAGCGAATCTGTCAATATTACTTAGAACCTAATGCAATATTCAGCTTGAATTCATTTTTTTTATTTGAGGGCAAATGTATATTCCTATTATACGGGTGCAACCGATGAATTTTACAAACATTTAGAAAAGTTTTGAATGGTACATTAACCTTTATGAAAAGTTATGCGTGATTTCAACCTTTTTGCCCTAGGACTGTCACCATTTCGACCAAGATTCGACCGTGTCACCCCATGTATATGCGAGCGAGACGTATACACGAAATGTTTTCATGCTCATGCTAACAATTTTGTTGATTTTCTTTGCGCTTCGCTTGGAAGTACCGGAAAGTTTTGATTCTTTTCTCTGTTGTAAAAATAAACCACCTATTTACATTTCTGACAAGTCGCAACTGAATGCTTATAATTGTTTTAAAATAACTGTTTCATGGCCAACTAGTTTTATTGCGCTTATTTATAAAGCAACGAAAGGATTAATTTGTTTGGTTTTATAAGGGCAATTTATATTACTTTTTGGTATACTTCAAAGCAATCATAAAACCTTTCATAAGTGAAAATAGCATAAGCATCAGTTGGTTTTTTAATTAGCTTTATAGGGGTTTTGTAGATAGCTATAAGAATGTTTCATGACTTGCATTGTATATGACCGTCATAAAGCTGTAGGTAATGGTTGCAGCTGCAATAAAACCTTTATAAATTTGGAATATAGCCAAGCAGCTCTAGATTTGTTACTTGGGATACCACTATGCGTCCATGTTTTAATTTCATGCTTTGTAAATGCTTTACAAACGGCGTATTCATTCATCATTCCACAACACTGCTTCAGGCTAACAACAAAACGAAATTGGTAGCATAGTGGTTACCGTTTCCGCTTTCCAAGT